AATCGGTAGTTTTTATTTGGGCAACGTTTCGCTTTTGACACAAAAGCTTCATCAGGCCAAGTGAACAGGTCACCAAATGGGCCAGGTTGTAAGACACACGGGGAACAAATCAGTAAGTCCTCTTCACACTAGATCAGTGTTGAGTGTCAATTAACAGCTCTTGTCGGCTAGCGTGGGCGTCAAAATCTTGAATTGGTGGGTTGGAGGAGTTTCAAATTACTTCCCATTACTTTTCGTTCCTTAATCCTCCGCCTCAGGGTGCTTCACTTGACGATTCACCCCGGGTACCACTGGTATATCCTTGATCATCGGAGGACGTGAATGTTACGACAATTTAGTTGGGGGGAAGGGAGGTGCGTAAGGTTAAGTGGAGTTCAGGTGATGACCACTCTTCCCTCTGATGATCGCACACCAACACGTGTTAGCTCCAGTGACCCAAGACCGTTCTCCACACGCTTGCCAGTTCCGCGCCTTCCGTTCTGTTAACGTTGGGACGCTTGGCGATTTCTACCACCTCTGCTATTAGTCTCTGTGAGGTGGACCGTAGTCCTCGCCTCAAAACCTCAACATTTTCTAAGTCTATTTTGTGCCCCGTATCCAGTGCGTGTTCCGCGATTGCCGAGTCTTTCAGTAACGCTTGATATTCATCTGCGTTTATCGGCGGCCTGTTTATTTTTCTACTATGCTCTCTGACTCTGACCCTCTCTCTTTCTCTGACCCAAATAAAAACTACCGATTGTTTATCAAGCTCTTCTGAAAAGAGGGCAATAGTGGTTTGTCGAGTCGTGGCGGGGATGTAAGAATAAGTACCTTGCCACAGCATTAGCCGTACGATGTGGATAGAGTACTAGAGCATGAAAATTAACGAATAGTTTTTGTAACCGGGACGCAACTAATCCACACTAGCCCTTAGTTTTATCGGTTTCTTCTAACAACTCTGAAGACGAATTCGAAATGTTATTGGTAATCGAAACTTCAGTTTTTTTTTTCGTGTTAGTTTTCCATCTGTTTTTCGCCGCTTCCTCACACCTTGCAGCCTAATACGGTGCGGATCTTACAAACACATGTACTTGTTTTTCCAGGCATCATGAATCGGGACGTTCTGACCGGGAATATGACAGGCGTTCTCGTCGTTCCCATCGGTCTCGTGATGGTGAATTTACGGACGCTGATGACTTTCCAGCACCTACTTCCGCTGTTTTAAGAAGTGACAGACGGACGGAACGAGACCGATCGGAACGAGCTCATTCTCGCTCAGATCGTTCTGGTGGCCGTGAAAAAATAAGTCACCGGAGTCATCGCAGGGACCGTGAACGTTCCTCTAAACCCTCCAGGTCTAGCAGACATCGTTCCAGTAGCCGCGGTTCTTATCGTCATGGTACGGTGTCACCACCGCGAACGCCTAACCAGACAATGAATATCTCGGGTGAAGACCTCGAAAGATCAAGTGATCCTTTGGCCGCAGCCACAGCTGCTGCAGCGAGTATCGCTGCTGCTCTGGGAGCCTCCGAGAAAGGGACACCTTGAACGCCACACTGCATGCCATTAACGGGCAGTTTTTTCCCATTCCCTGTACAGTTTACACATTTGGGTTGCACTAACACTTATACTACACATACTTGGTTTTTTCTTATATTTACGTTTCTACACAGATTGATCGGTGTCTGCTACTTGGTACTCAGTTCTGCTTACGGACCAGTGACCACATGTCTTAAAGGTCTAATTATTGTGGCCCGTGGTTTGGCCTTTGTCCACCTAACGGAACCCTCGGAAGCTTCAAGCTTTTGGCATCCTCTAGAATGAAATGCGCGGTGCCCAAGTTACGGGCTCGAGTTCAGTGCTACACTCTGGGTTGTCCCTGTCTAGGCCTGAGGGACGTGCTGTATCTCACTTGTTTTTCATGTGTTCTGTCTCCATGAGTGCGATCCTAAAACAGGAAATTAGTAATAAGTTTTCAGTGCGTAGCTATTCCCCATCTCCCCTGAGCGGCGGCGAGCGAAACTAGAAGCGATAACCGCTGTACAATATGCACGTGGTTTTGAAGGTCATGATGTTTTATGTAGGTTACCTTACAGTCATATTAAAAAAGGACCATCGGTGGTTGATTTTTTTTCAGTACGCAGGCCAAGAACGAATGATGGGCTTCGGGTTACTAACCAGAATGGAACAAACTCAGATGCTTAGGTGACCAAATCTGATACCGTTTTTCCAGTCTCCAAGCTGTACCGGAGCGAAGAGCCGATTCGGCGTCACTACCGCTCATTTGTACAGGGGTATTCGAATTAATTCCCGTTCGTAGTACTGCTGTTTGCTGATATTGCGACAGGGGCGCGTAGCCTAATTTCAGAGGGAAATTCATTCGAATTTTTTTATTGTCCAAATAACAGTTGATCGTGTGGTTGACTTTGCGAAATAAACTCAACAATGCATCCTCAACAGAGTATTTGAAAGTCCTTCAGCAAGCAAGAAAACAAGCCACTCAAAGTGGCATTGGTAATCTGAAAGGAATACTGCGTTACTTTTATTTTGACTTTATCTATGGTAATTAGTCAGAGGACTTGTTCCTGATAGTGCAGAACACGCTTCTCTTCCCTCAACACATATTCATTGAAGCTATTTCTGATGAACTTCCCAATCTAAAAAGGCTTTCTGAACTTTCATAAAGCTACGTTTACCGTTCTACTGTGCGTGGTGTGAGAGAATCCTAGACATTAAATTCAGAAGCAGACCCATTGATGAGCTTTGGAAGATACTAGTTGCTCAACAGATCCGTTATCTCACATTTGATGACCTGCAACCCTGGAGACACGTGGCCAGTTGTTGCTGGCCAATATTAGTCGCCATCCGCACAACGGTGATCAAAGAAAGTTACTGCCAGCACTGCAGTACTTAGGATTACCCAGAGTGTTAAGGTGGCTTAATGTCAGATGTGTAAGTGAAATACTTGGGATCCAGTGCATTCAACGTGTAGTCAATATACAACAGAATTGTACAATATAAATAATGTACAACAGAATAAGTATATCACGATGCAACAAGTAGAGTAAAAGCGCATCAGTTAGTAGTGAAAACGGTGATAACCCGACAACCTTTACCTTAAATAGACGAAACACCTCAGGTTCTAATGACCCTGAGTACGCCAAACTGACGGCCCATAATTGCCAAATTATGTGAAAATAACTAGAATTTGACAACCGAAATGCAAACAAAGAGTGGACTCGTGGTCTGCAACACTTATGAGACGTACCTCAGACACGGCTAAATAATGTTACCCAACACCGGGTTTTTGTCCACACACCCATCAACGCATATGTGCTTTTCTGTCAACTTCGTTGACTGAGGTTTCCGGAATGACCAGAGTGTTCAGGTGATTTCTGCAAACATGACTAGAGACCTAATTACGAACCCTATGATGCCCACTTCGAATAGAGTGGGGCTTGCATCACTAGTAAGCTGAGTCTATATTACCCCCATATGGCGATCTGTAGTCGGCCGTGGCTTGACTTGATGGCCAGTAAAATTTCACCATAGTCCCAGCGAATCAAATTGCACACTGTCAAGGCATTCTCGCTTGCTCTGGTCTGTACGGCGATGGCCTCGAAAAGTCACCTTTGGCATCGTTGCAGGCTTTCGTTGACGTCATAGCTGACGTTATGCCGCTGTTTTGCTGATGGTTGATCAAAGTAAACCCGAACCCTATCACTACACATCCAGCTTGTTTTGTCTCCAGGTCAACAATATTCAAGAACAACTTCGAATCTCCGGCCCGAAGTTACCGTTCGTTGACTTTCTGTTCACACTGTCCTGTTAGGTGTTTTTTGTTCCAAAATTCACATTTCTTCTCAGGCTATCAGTCAGTGTCCATGTATCAACACTTCTGCCCCCCAGAGTGCTGATTTTTACATTTGTTTGACTACACAAAGTCTGCTTCGAAATCCTGTTTCCCATTGTTATGCATTTCAGTCAAAATGGTGTTCTTCAGCTTTCTGTTTAGCCCTTTACAAAGCCATGGTAGCTTGAGCAGCCTTCTCTGGAGATATAGGAATATTTCTGAGACTATATTTGTAAATTGGTCACAGTATTTTTCCACAAGGTCCAGTTAGAATCTTCAAAATGGGGCGAGAAGCGCTGGGATAAATCTGCTTGGTTCTGATGGACCCACATTCTGGTCTCTTTAAGCCTTTGTCCGGCGGAACCCGGCCACCGGTCTCATGACTAGGCTCCGGACACCTTCCATCGGGCAAAATATCCCATCCATCCTAGTCAAGTGAATATGATAGTGGTCACCATGTGGTCCGAGAATTTCCGTTGGAGAACCTCCTGGTATATTCGTAGCAAGTGTCCACCTAAGGCAGAAAATGCACAACGTAATTTGCAATGGTACATGTGCAGTGGCTTCAATGTGCACTAAAGGATCAATTGGACTGTAGTTTAGTTGCCTCTTCACAGGTCGTCCTATGTTTTAGAGGGATGAATAGAAGCAAGTTAACGAGAAGTGGAAATAGATAAAGAGAAGGTTGAATTGAAACGAAAAGATGTAACCAATCCGTATCTGGAAGCTTACCGGAACTACTCACCGAAAGATTAATTCGAAACAATCCGTACTTCCGTAGAACAGTGGACTGACACAATAAGCGATGCACTCGTTCGCGACAAAAAGTAGGTGAAGTCGTTCGTAGCAACTGTGGCTTCACCGAAGGCAGTAAATTCGGCGGGGACCCGCACACGCTTTCGAAGTTTATGAAAAGCATTCAAGTCAACATCGCCCACGGAGTTGAGGATGACACACATCGGTAATGGATTTGATCCACTATTACACTGGTGAAGCCAAGGCAGCTATGGAGGGCTGTGTATAACTACCGGTCAGTTTTCGAATTCAGAGTAACACACCAGTTTAACTATGCCGCATGCGCGCATTTCTTACTTTTGGTCCATTCATTCTCGTCCAAACTTTCAGATTGACAACGCAATTTTTCTGGTACTTAAGTTGTGTGATAGCTTAGGGACTCCAGCGATAATTTACACTAAACTCCAACACAGATTATGATTTTGCTCAGTATTCCATTCGTTAGGACAATATGCTTCGGAGGTTGTTACGACTCGAACAAAATTCGACAAAACGTTTATTCTGGCATTCTGCTGATACGTAATTCATTATTTCCTATCAGTTGCGCCTTCGAATAGTAGTCAACCAATTGTAATAAACTTCTTAGTAGAATGTGTTTTGGACTGTACTTAGGATTGGTGGCTGCCTCGTGTCTTTGGTTAATCGCTACGGGCAATGGATTTCAAAAAGTACTGATAGACACCTTTTGAATTTGATGTCTGATAGATCCATCTGTGTAGACCTTAGCTCAACAGTGAATGACGCAGCTGTGTTTTCACATAAGCCGCTTGGGCGTATCAGCACTACAACCCATAAACTGTTTCAACGGTTGCACATTTCTAAATGGGATGCTGAAAACACGGCTGCTAGATTTCTTGTAATGCTGTTCTAAAATTGTCGGAAGAGAACTATGACCTTCTGACCGTGAATACTTAGATACAACAGAGAATAGTTTGGGATACCTTACTTTGTGATCTCAATAACCTGGCAAGTGCAGAAGTTGAACCGTCTCGATACCGGTTCAAAACAATGAATTGGTAACTTCAAATTGAATACGCATTCACTGGGTTGCACGGATGTTGGTGTGTGTCATGATTTTCCGTCATTTAAATTGCGTGAGTCCGCAGAAATAATCAATATGAAATAGTGATAACATGTTCACGTGCTCGCATGTCAGATGTTCAAGATTCGAATTCTGCCAAATTTATGCATCATTGATGAGCTCTCATGACAGAAAAGCCCAAATCCGGTTCTCCTCCAGTTTGGTGGACTAACCGAAGTAGTCATGGTGGAACAGGAAGAGCGCTGTTCAGACGAGATTAATGCGAATAAAAAGTCTACAAATCCCGCAACCACACTTCTAGGGGCCAGTTCACGTCTGCTTTTCCGGCAAAAATACCGCTCCGCTAAATTTTTTCTGACTGCACACCGAAATCGTCCACTTGTTCACCATGTTTGCCATAGGTTACCTTTCCGGGTTAAAGGTCGGCCGATCCAACAACATGTAGAAGCTGTGATTTAGCAATTTCATCTTCTGGATATGATACATATCTCTAGTTTCCTTAGTTTTTAGACAAGATGATAAACACTCAGTTGAATTGTACTCAACTGGTCGACTAAATTTGGTGCCCCATTCAGGACTGTCAGCTACACAAACGTTTCACGTAATATCACAGGAGTTTTGTCATTTTTATATTTTGTGTGGGATGAACATACAGAACCACCAGGTGACAAACTTTGCTAAAGTGAAGCAATACTTATCTTTGGAAACCAGTTTCACTACTCACCCAATAGGAGATCATACCCCCTAGATGATTATTCAGTAAGAGATTTATCGAAGCTGACATGTTCACTGACCGACTGCATGGGGTATGGTAAGCGTTCTTATAACTTACCAGTGTGTTTCTGTAGATAAGTCATTCTTATGAATTCTCAAAATCAGCCATAAATTCGCCGGTCACTGCCAACGTGAAATTTAATGTATTAGTTTGTTTGACTTC